TTTTTCTTCTTCCTTTTCTTCTCATGAATATGTTGATTTTCTATACTTTAGTATGAAATTTATACTTTTCTTATGAAAATCATGAATAATTATTAAAGAAATATGGTTATGGTACCTAGGGAACTACCCTAGGATCTATGTTTTTAACATAAAAAATCCATCGCCTAGGTGCCCAATCGCCTAGCCTCGCTTTGGTGCCTCAAAAACTATGGGAAGAGAATAGAAGAGTGAGAAGAGAAAGGGAGCAGATCTTAATCAGTTTCTGTCACCCAGATTTGGTATTTATATGTTTCTATCATAACAAGGTCTACAATGACATCTATGCCCCTGCCTCCCAACACACTCCTTAATAAACAATAACAGTAATAGTAACAACTATAGTAGGCCTAGTAAGGCCCAGAAAGACTAATATAACAAGGCCCAAAATACTAATAAAATGTAAATAAAAAAGACAACTAATATGGCAGGGACTTCACTAAATTACTAGTCTGTTTCTCCACACTCCCCCTCAAGTTGGGAATAGATATTAGTCATTCCCAACTTGCATTAAATCTGTCTCTAATTTGACCCTTGTAACTGCTTTGGTGAAGAGATTGGCAAGCTGCATATCGGAGGCAACATAAGGAAGGCACACTTCTTTGGAGGCAACTCTTTCTTTGATAAAGTGTCAATCCACCTCAATATGTTTGCTTCTATCATGTTGTATTGGATTATGATCAATATTAATAGTGGCCTGATTATCACAATACAACATTAGGGGCTTTTCATATTCAACCTCCAACTCTTCAAGTAGTGATTTTAACTATAACACTTCAGCCACCCCATTAGCCATAGATCTGTATTCTGCTTCAGCACTGGAGCGGGCAACAACAGTTTGTTTCTTACTCCTCCAAGAGACAAGGTTTCCCCCAACAAGGGAACAGTACCCTGAGGTAGATCTCCTATCATCCACACATTCAACCCAGTTTGCATCAGTGTACACTTCTATCTTCATATGACCATTATTCTTGAAGAGCATACCTCTACCTAGACACCTTTTTAAGTAGACAAGTATCCTCTCAACTGCAAGAAGATGGGATGTTCTGGGAAACTATATATACTGACTGACAACACTAACAACATAAGAAATATTTGGGCATGTTAGACAGAGGTAGAGAAGCTTTCCAACCAGCCGTTGATACATGGCTTTATCTTCAAGTAGTTCACCCCCTTCTGCATTTATCTCGTGGTTTGTCTCAATTGGTGTGTCTGTTGGCTTAATTCCCAATTTTCCAGTTTCTTCTAAGAGATCAAGGGCATATTTCCTTTGGGATATGAAGATACCATGCTTGGTTCTAACCACTTCAATTCCCAGAAAATATCTCAAATCCCCTAGATCCTTTACCTCAAACTCCTTATTAAGTAGCTTCTTGAGAGAACTAATCTCATTACTATCATTGCCTGTCACCACAATATCATCAACATATACAGCCAGGAGAGTTAAAGTTGAACCTGCTTTCTTGAAAAAGAAAGTGTGATCAGGTTGAGCCTGTGCATAGCCAAAATTTTCCAAGGCATGTCTAAACCTGTCAAACCATGCCCTTGGAGACTGTTTCAAGCCAGACGAGGCCTTCTTCAATCGGCAAACTTTTCCACTGTCTTCATTATAAAAGCTTGGGGGCAACTCCATATACACTTCTTCCTGTAGATCATCATTCAAGAAAGCATTTTTAACATTCATCTAGAACAACGGCCACGAGAAGTTTGTAGCAAGAGACAACAACACTGTAATTGTGTTCATTTTGGCAACTGGTGCAACGGTTTTTACATAATCAATACCATAAGTCTATGTGTATCCCTTAGCAACCAGTCAAGCTTTATATCTTTCAATTGACCCATCTGCATTGTACTTCACTATAAATATCCGCCTACACCCAACCGGTTTCTTCCCTCTTGGTTGATTGACTAGCCCCCAAGTATCACTTTTTATAAGTGCATCCATCTCAACCTTCATTGCTTCCTTCAACTTAGGTACTACCAAGGCATCCTACATAGTTCTGGGGATAGGTACAGAAGCAATGGCCACCAAAAGGGACTTATATGATGGTGAAAGATGGTCATAAGAAGGAAACCGAGAGATGCAATGGGCAGTAGATAAGGTGCAGCGACGCTTTCCTTTGTGTATTGCAATAGGAAGGTCAAGATCATCTGCGAGAGGTTGAGGTTCAATGGTGGTAGTAGGCATATCATCTACAATAGTTGAAGGTACAGATGGTAAAATACCTGAATCTGGTGTCGCAGAGGAGACTGGAGGTGGTCCGACCTGTTCATTATTGGAACCAACCTGCTTCTACGATCGTTTGTGGGACACTCTCAACTCCTTACACTTTTGACAACCTCCCTCACTACACTCCCCTTCATTGATAGGAATAGGCAATGGAACTTCTTGAGCAAAAACACCCTGCTCACCACTCTCCCCCTAGGTGAAGTCCTGAAGTAATAAGGGATATCCTCAAAGAATGTAACATCCATAAACACAAACCTTGCCCCAAAGATTGGACCATAACAGCAATACCCCTTTTGATTTTGTGCATACCCAAGAAAAATACACTTGGCTGCCTTAGGATCAAATTTAGAATGGTGAGGCCCAAGGATTTGAACAAAGCAAGTGCACCCAAAGGTCTTAAGGGGAATAGTGAACTGGTCTTTATCAGGGTACAATAGGTTAAAAGGTGCTTTCATGTCTAAAACCCATGAAGGAACTCTGTTGATAAGGTAGGAAGCTGTGTGGATGACACCCCCCCAAAACGAATAGGAGAATTAGAATTTAGCATGATACTCCTAGCAATTTCAAGAATGTGTCTATTCTTTCTCTCAGCTATTCCATTCTGCTGAGGTGTATGAGGACAAGCACTCTGATGGATAGCTCCATACTCAAGTAGATATGAGGCCAAGGGCTTTGCAAAATACTCCTTGGCATTATCAGATCTGAGAATTTTGATCTTGACCCCAAAGTGAGTTAAAACCATTTGGTGGAATGCACGGGTCAAAGTAGGTATCTCGTCTCGAGAACGCATAAGATAAACCCAGGAAAAACGAGAATAGTCATCAACAAATAGTATGAAATACCTGTAACCCCCCATTGCATTAATGTGATAAGGTCCCCAAACATTAGTATGCACAATTTCAAAAGGAATAATGCTTCTTTTATTGCTCAAAGAATAGGTTGATCTACAAGGCTTTGCAAGTTTACAACTCTCACACCTTAGACTAGACACTTGGACAAACTCAAACTAAGTAGGAAAAAGACTCTTCAATGACCCAAAAGATAAATGACCCAATCGATTATGCCAAAGCATAATCTGACTCATAGACTAAGACACAAAAGACCTCCCAACATCTTTATTCCTTCCAGGTGGATGCTCAAGCAAGTAAATTCCATTCGTTTCACGACTAGTCCCAATCACCCCCCTTGTCACCAGATCCTGAAAGACACAATGATCAGGGAAAAAGGTTATTGAGCAATTCTGGTTTTTAATAATGCTACTAACTAAAATTAGGATTTGTGCTAAGTTTAGGGACATGCAAGATAGAGGATAATGAGATGGTATCAGACACTCTGGTATCTCCCTTGCCTGAAATAGGTACAAAGGAGCCATCAGCAATAGAAACTTTGTCTCTGCCAGAAGATAAGGAGTAGGAATTAAACATGGAGGATAAACTAATCATATGGTCAAAAGCACCTGAATCAACAATCCAAAAACGGCTAGTTTTACCTGGGGCTGAAGCATGATACACAGTAGCTCTTGTACTTGAGTGAGCAAAATCCAAAGTGGGAGTAGTAGTAGATGTAGCAGCTGAAGGCTGAGATGATCCTAAGGCTCCAACTTTACACTCGAACTGAGTTAAGGCAACTCTGACTGCAGCTAATGCATCTAGGGATGTGGGTTTTGCAGCAGAGGAAGATGCACAATCAGTAGTAACTGCTGCATTGGCATTCCCCTTCTTTTTCTTGAGTCTTGCTGGAACAAGATGAGGATGCAATTTCCAACAAGTG